CACCCCGACGTCACGCCCGACCTTCGAAAAAGTCCTGGGATTGCACCAGGCAGCCCGCCACTGGCAACGTATATGCTCCAGTCTCCAAAGAGGGACAGGCCCTAGTGGGCCCCGGAAACGGCAGGGCCGTTCTTTCACCGTTTCCGAAAAAATGTCCCTTGAAAAGGAAAACGGCCAAAAAACGGCGACCGGAAACGGCAGCGAAAACGGCTCCAGGATTGGAACCGGAGCGGGAACCCGCAACAAAGACGGCGACGGAACGGGTAAGAAAACGGCGTCGGAATGGCCCGACTGGGAGGCCCCGGCAGAGGCGGTCCTCCTTCAGCAGGGCGGCGTCGTACTCCGCGGGGACGTTCCGCAGGCGCAGGCGCACGGAGCCGGCCGGGGCCGCGCCCGGCGGGGTGGCGAGGCGGTCCTCCGCGGCGCGGAGCAGCGGCTGTGCAGGGCAGCAGGGCGAGGCCGGTCAGCATCGGATCGGGAGATCTGGGCATCGTTTATCCGACTATCCTCCTCCACCCCGTCCTCCTCCTCCTCCTCCTCCTCCTCCTCCTCCTCCTCCTCCTCAGTCTCTTCCTCCTCCTCCTCCTCCTCCTCCTCAGTCTCTACCTCCTCCTCCTCCTCCTCCTCCTCCCTCCTCTCCTCCTCCTTCTCTCCTCCTCCTCCTCCTCCCTAAGTCTCTTCCTCCCCTCCGCCTCCTCTCCCATCCTCCTTCTTTCCGCGTTCTTCTTGGCTTTCCTCCTCCTCCTCCTCCTCCTCCTTCTCGAGAACGGGGGATTGTGGAGTCCCTGTGGTTCCGAAGCGCGCGCGCGAGGCTTTCGCGCTGAGTTCGCGACTGTTTCTGTGCAAACTCTGCTCTGTGTCGTCCTCCTCCTCCTGCTCCTCCTCCTCCGCCTCCTCCTCCTCCTCCGTAACCCCCTGCTCCTACCTTTCTGCCTTTTTTTCTCATGGCATTCCCCCCCCCCAGAAAAAAATGTTTCTTTTTTTCTGTGGGGGGGGGGCGCCAGGAAAAAAAAAAAAAAAAAAAAAAAAAAAAAAAAAAAAAACACGCGACGTGGCCACATCTGCGCTCCCCCCTAGAAGGATTCCTATTGAACACCCCCATAAGAAGGATTCACAATGAAATCCTCGACAGAAGGGTTCCTATCGAAACCCTCCGCTGAATGATTCCTACTGAATCCTCCACATGTGGATTCCTACTGAAACCCTCCACTGGATGATTCCTACTGAAATCCTCAAATGGCAATGGCAATGGCAATGGCAATGGCAATGGTAATGGTAATGGGAATGGTAATGACACTGGTAATGGTAATGGTACTGGTAATGGTTACGGTAATGATAGTGGTAACGGGGTAGCGAGGCGATGACAATGGCAATGGCAATGGCAAAGGTAATGGCGATGGCAATGGCAATGGGAATGGCAATGACAATGGCAATGGCAATGGCAGTGGTAATGGCCATGGCAATGGCAATGGTAATGGTAAGGGTAAGGTAAAGGTAGAGGTAAAGGTAAATGGTAATGGCAATGGGGATTGGCAGTGGCAGTGGTAATGGTAATGGGAATGGGAGTGGGAATAGGAACGGGAACGGGAATGGAAATGATAGTGGTAGTGGTAATGGTAATGGCACCGGTAATGGTAATGGTAATGGAAATGGTAATGGCATTGGGAATGGGAATGGGAATGAGAATGGGAATTGTAATGGTAATGGCAGCGGTAGTGGTAATGGTAATGGGAATGGGACCGGAAATGGGAATGGAAATGGTACTGGCAATTGTAAATGTAGTGGCGAATGGCAATGGCACTGGCAATGGTAATGGCAATGGCAATGGCAATGGTAATGACAGAGGTAGTGGTAATGGTACTGGTAATGCTAATGGTAACGGTAATGGTAACGGGGTAGCGATTGGCAGTGTCAATGACAATGGCAATGGCAACGGTAATGGTAATGGAAATGGCAATGGGATTGGCAATGGCAATGGCAATGACAATGATAATGGCCATGGCAATGGCAACGGCAATGGTAAGTGCAATGGTAATGGCAATGGTAATGGGAATGGGAAAAGAAATGGGAATGCGAATGGGAATGGGAACAGGGACGGTAATGGAAATGGTAGTGGTAGTGGTAACGGAAATGGGAATGATAAGGGTAAGGGTAAAGGTAAGATAGAGGTAAAGGTACTGGTAATGGCAATGGAAATGATAATGGTAATGGTAATGGTAATGGTAGTGGTCATGGGGATGGGAATGGCAACGGAGATGGTACTGGCAATGGTAACGGTAGTGGCTAATGGCAATGGCAATGGCAATGCGCATGGTAATAGCAATGACAGAGGTAATGGTAATGGTACTGGTAATGGTAACGGTAATGATAGTGGTAATGGGGTAGCGACTGGCAATGACAATGACTATGGCAACGGCAATGGTAATGGCAATGGCAATGGCAATGGCAATGGTAATGGTAATGGGAATGGGAATGGAAAAGGTACTGGTAATTGCCATGGCAATGGCAATGGCAATGGTAGTGGTAATGTGGATGGGAATGGGGACGGGAATGGAAGTGTGAATGGGAATGGGAATGGGAATGGGAACGGGAATGGAAAATGGCAGTGGTAGTGATAACGGAAATGGGAATGGTAAGGGTAAGGGTAAAGGTAAAGGTAGAAGTACAGGTAATGGTAATGGTAATGGCAATGGCACTTGCCATGGTAATGGTAATGGACATGGTATTGGGAATGGGAATGTGAATCGGAATGGTAATGGTACTGGCAATGGTAATGGTAGTGGCGCATGGCAATGGCAATGGCAATGGCAATGGTAGCGGCGAATGGCAATGGCAATGGCAATGGTAATGGTAATGGCAATGACAATGGTAATGGTAATGGTACTGGGAATGGTAATGGTAACGGCAACGGTAATGGCAATGGCTATGGCAATGGTAACGGGCTAGCGACTGGCAATGGCAATGGCAACGGAGATGGCAACGGTAATGGCGATTGTAATGGCAGTGGGAATGGCAACGGCAATGGCAATAGCAATGGCCATGGCAATGGTAATGGTAATGGGAATGGTCATATTCTTCTTACGCATCAACCAATCTCCACTGCAGAAGAACTCCAATATCTGTCAGCCCTCAGCGGCGGCTGGAACGGAGCTCGCCGGAACACGAGCAATCCGCCGACCCTGCCAGGGGGCCATAACGAATTCACTCCAGCAAAGCAAGTAATATGAGAGCCCGGAGAAAATAAATCGCACCCCGGACCAAGGCGCAACGAAAATGCCACGAATTTCGGTGCCGGGATGGGGAAGGAAACGAGGAGAGGAAGGAGCAGCTACGGGGACCGGCCTCAAAGCGAGGATAGGCAGGTACATCCAAAATCGGTATATAAACTTGATGTGTTCAAAACGGCGAAAGATACGAATTAACCCTAAAACGTATCAACCCCTTGCCTGCCAAGCTGTTGTCGGACAGACTCGTGTTGAACAGCCTCGACGGCCTGGCAATACATTCACCGTGGCATGAAAGAACACGAGCATGCGATTAAAACACCGCCCACGGCATTTTAAGACGACGAGTGCGCAGCTTGGCGCATGAACATAGGAAAACAGACAGCGCCGCCGACAGGCCTGAGGAGAACTGGACAACATGCCACAAAAACCGCACAAGGAGGGAGAAGGGGAAGAAGGCGGACGAGGGGAAGGGAGGGGAGGAGAGCGAGAACAATTAGGTCCTGAAACGTGTGCTGGCGCCGAACACTAGCGACGTGGCGCGCGGGTAGCCGCGGACACCCTCGCGCACAAAAGTCCCAAACGCCTCTCGAGCTTCAGCCCTGCTTAACGAACCGTGTGTGACGCTGCCATGGAGTCTGTGCAAAGCGCACACACATATGGCACGAAGTGCTGCGGCGTTCACCCTGGCCCCCTCCGAGCGGAGGTGCACAGGCAATGCATTCGCGTGTGGGCTCACGCACAGAAAATCGCTCAACCTACATTCGACGGGCGGCGTTTGCAGCCCGGCGTGCTGCGAGCAACAGTGGTGGAAGGAGGCACAGAATGCGTAGTGTTGGATGCTATGTTCGCCCCGTGCGCATCCGAAGATGCAGCCGCCTCGGCCTTGAAAGCGCCTTGCGGTCGTCCAACCGTTGAAAGCACACCGCAAAACAGCCGCTTGAACCCGCGGCGGCACTACGCCAGACAGAGACTGCATTGAACTGAGAAATCGGCCAGGCCTGTGCCCGGGCAGAATAGGCAACTGCCACTTGTCCAACTTTCTCCGGAGGTGGTGAAAAGCGTGCGGTTGGCGAACGCGCAACACTGCTGCTGCGCGTTTTTGCCAGCCCTCCGGAAGCTGCGACTCGGAACCATCTGCGCCTAGCAGCGAAGTTGAACAGTTTTGGAGGCCCTCAGAATGCCGGAGCTGGTCTGCAGCGGCCTCGAGCTGGAAGAGGAAGTTGGACGCGAACCACGTCCTGTGTTCCCGCGCCTTGACCTCATTGGCACTTTGGTTGAGGGTTGCTCGGAGAGCTCTGGCGCGCTCCCGCACCAGCAGACCTCCATGGGCAGAGTCTTCGTGACGAAACGCCCGCGCCCGGGCCCGGGCCGCCAAACAGCGGGATGGCACGTCGACCAGTTCGGTAGGAAATGCAAAATCTTTCAGGTGCGTCAAACAGCCTGGCGTGATCCATCCAGCCTGTTTGACGCACCTGAAAGATTTTGCATTTCCTACCGAACTGGTCGACGTGCCATCCCGCTGTTCGGCGGCCCGGGCGCAGGCGTTTCGACACGAAGGTAATGGTCATGGTCATGGTCATGGTCATGGTCATGGTCATGGTCACGGTAACGGTAATGGTAATGGTAATGGTAATGGTAATGGGAATGGGAATCGTAGTGGTAATTTGAACGGGAACGGGAATGGAAATGATAGTGGTAGTGGTAATGATAATGGCAATGGTAATGGTAATGGTAATGGAAATGGTACTGGTAACGGTAATGGTAATGGCAATGGTGATGGAAATGGGAATTGTAATGGTGATGGCAGCGCGCGCGCGGTAATGGTAATGGTAATGGTAATGGTAATGGTAATGGTAATGGTAATGGTAATGGTAATGGTAATGGTAATGGTAATGGTAATGGTAATGGTAATGGTAATGGTAATGGTAATGGTAATGGTAATGGTAATGGTAATGGTAATGGTAATGGTAATGGTAATGGTAATGGTAATGGTAATGGTAATGGTAATGGTAATGGTAATGGTAATGGTAATGGTAATGGTAATGGTAATGGTAATGGTAATGGTAATGGTAATGGTAATGGTAATGGTAATGGTAATGGTAATGGTAATGGTAATGGTAATGGTAATGGTAATGGTAATGGTAATGGTAATGGTAATGGTAATGGTAATGGTAATGGTAATGGTAAT